TTTTCTTAATCCATTCGTCAGTGGTGGGGCATCTTGGCTGTTTCCATAACTTGGCTATTGTGAATAGTGCTGCAATAAACATGGATGTGCAGGTGCAACCAGAGGCACTTTGAATACAGACTTCAGAGCAATTCAGTAGCAGTGAAATTTCCATAATTTGACACAATATCCTTCTCCATTTATTCACATCTACTGTTTCTGATAGACTGTTCCCTGAGAAATGCTTCTCATGTTCCAAAGGAGAAATCCCTAGAGGAAATAAACCAGCACTAGCCACACCTGTAAAGATAAGTGAAACAAAATATACAAAGCTTGCTAGATTCTTCCATTGTCATTGAATTAGATAGAACACAGAAAAGCATGGCATCGGAAAAATGATTGAATTCTGGCCAGAGATGAAAATGCTGCAATTGAAAAATTTCCAGAACAACATGTACTTGGATCCGTATTAAAGAAAAATTCTTTGAGTGTTTAAGCCAAATGACCCAGCAGGGTTGATAGTGTGAGGCATATTTCACAGTTGCTTAAATATTTAAAACTATTTTCTAGATTATAAAGCAAGTAAATGAGATTATTCTTTGAAAAGCTGTGCAATGAGATTAACCTGCCCACCTTTACTTATTGGGGACACCTACCCTGTTCCTCCCAGCTTTCTCTTGTAAGAGAAAATCTCAGAAAGAAGTGTAACAAGGGCTTCCAACTTGGAAAACAAAACTGACTTGCATTTCAGAGAGATGGTGAGCATCACTGACTCCTGCCACAGATGTTCTGTTTCTAGGGAGGGGTGATGTCTGGCTTTGGGCAGCTTGGACTAGATTGTCACCAGGGGCAGATCCAATGACACAATTGCTTTTCATCATAAATGCCTTTGAACTTGGTGTAGGGCAGACTTGGGACTCCTATCCTATCAGTCAATCAACCTATCTAATCTATCTATCTCTATCTATTTATCTATCTATCATCACTTCAAAGAAAGTTGTGAAGCCTCTCTTGCTGTTGGTCCTAGCCTATTAGAATGCCACCATGGTCATCCTTCAGCCTCAGTGCTGCAGATGATTTGTAGGTGGTCAACCTCATTCACTCTTTCATAGCTTCTTTTATCACCCGTCTTTGTTGTTGTCCTTTCCATAATTTTCATTTTTTTCCTTTTGTTTGCATTTTAACTATTGCCCTGGACCATTCTCCCTTGCTACTGTCTTCTCATTCACTTTTTTGCCTCCAGTTAAATACTCTGACAATGGCAGTGACGTTTCTGTAGTTATTAATAAAGACCTTGAAAAGAATGTTAATGACTGGATTTATTGAAAGTTCATGGCTATTGTAAAAAGCTGGCATGATGGAATGGTGAAACATGCCTTCAGTCAAGAGTTATGCATTTTGAGTTTTGCCCAGGAATATCATTAACTCACTCCATATGCTTAGGCAAATCGCTTACCCTTCTTTGAGTCTTTGTTCCCACATTGTTCAGGTAAAGAGTTGCTATGAAAGGTCCCTTTGAATTTAACATTCTAGAAAAGTTTTTCTGCTTCCTCTATGCTATGACACTGCATTGTGAATACATTTCCTTGATTATACTTTTTATTTTTCTCCATTCTTGAAAAAATTAATTTTGTTTATGTTCCTAGACTACAGAATGAAAAATGGATGAATGTCAAAGTGGGAGACATCATTAAATTAGAAAATAACCAATTTGTTGCTGTGAGTATTCAATACAAAGAATTCATCTTATATTAAAATGACATATATATTGATGTGTTTACATTTGCAAATTTAGTAAATCCATATTAACTTAGAGTAAATAAAGAGGGGATACCAGTATGTATTAGTATAAATTCTGAATTACAAGATTTAAAAGATACTGATTTATTACTTTTAGTAACATGGGGGCTCAGAATAATTATCATCTTACCAATTTCCTCAGGTACCTTTTCTAGTGATAGATATAAAAATTTTTAAATCAATTATTTTATGTGCATAAGGGTTTTAAAAAATGCTCCTGAGTACCCTGTTTGTTTTCCCATATTTTGGATACTATTCCTTAATATTTTGGTTACTGCTGTTTAATTGGAATATGTTGGAAGAAAACATAAGTTAAAGAGAAAAATGTATGTTCTTTTCTGAACAATCAGAAAATGTATATCAATTGTGCTGAATTAATAAAATATTAATTAATGAGGTCTTTGTATATCAAATGCACTATCATTTATATTCACCAGCTACCTAAGTTGCAATTTCCTTCATAAAATTCAGTTCATTTACCACAATGTATGCAACTAAACTGTAGTTCAAATTGAATTTAGGCTGACAAGCGCAATCCATATCAGAGGTCTAAAATTCAAACTAAGCAGTATTTTGTGAAATATAATTTAGATTACTTATCAGAAGTTAACTTACCTCTGTTTTCCATGTCAGGAATCCCTTTTGCTTTATGCTTTTTTTTTTTAAGTTTCAAGATCACTTTGGGGCTGAATTTCCAGAGCTGCTAATTTTATTTTGCAGCCAAGAAAAAAATGCAGAATATAATTCAGATAACACAACGAAATTGATTTGCATTAGCAGAACTAATTAAACTATTGTTAAAAACAACACAATGAGTTAATTGAATAAGAAATTTAAATTTAAAATAAAAATGTTACCTATAACTACACACATTCACTCTTACGATTTCATTCAAATTTCTGAATCATAATACCTGAGCCATTTTCTGTATTTTATTTCTTTATTTATTTTTGGTGGTATCAGGGATAGAACTCAGGGCCTCACACTTATTAGGCAAGTGCTCTACCACTTGACCCACATCCCAGACCTTGGTTTTTAGCTTGTTTTTCAGGTAGGGTCTTGTGCTAACTTTGCCCAGGCTGCAGTCAGCCTGTGATCCCTCCTACCTACCAAGTAGCTTGAATTACAGGCACACACCACTATCAGCTCCTTGAGCCATCTTTAATTTTTATTTTTGGACTAAAAACCAAAGAAAAGATGTGGATGATGAAAAGATGAAGAACTCTGTGTGTGAGGATGACTTTAAAAATTGAAGGGAAATCCAAAAGTGGCAAGAAAGCTAATTCTACAAGTGGAGACTTTCCTTGTTATGGTTCCACTGTCCTAGTATTATTTTGCCATTGTAATTTTGCTCCTTAAACACCAAAAAAGCAAACCAAAATATAACAAGACAAAGCAAAACATTTTCTGTTTTCCTCTTATAGCCCACTAGAGGAAAGGGTAAGCATTGTGGGATCAGAAGGTCTGAATTCTAGTTCTAGCACTATAGTTTAAGCTATGAGCCAACTCATGAGTAGGGTGTTAAATCACATCCTCAATTCGATGTGATTACACTCTCATCATGACTTTGGAATGGCCATGGCCTTTATAATTAGCTTATCTGGTGGTGGATGTTGGGGGAGTCTATTTCTTCCACATTGCTGGGCCGGATATGTCCTCCCCAGGTTCCTTGTCCATACAGTGGGCACAGTATTATCCACTCACAGGGTGAGAATAAAACAATATCATGAGGAGAGGGTGTTTTATATTTATGATGTTATTTCTTGAGGTTTTCTTCCTTTATAATTAGTAGTAGTTTTTTTGTCGGGGTGGGGACAGGGAGGAGGCTTTCACTGTGCTGCCCAGGCTGGTCTCTAACTACTTGTGCTCAAGTCATTCTTCTGCCTTAGCCTTTCTGGTAGCTGGGACCCCAGGTATACCCCACAATTCCCAACTGCTTTCTTTATTCTTTAATTCAACAAACATTATTTATTTCTAATATACTTCTGAGGACAATATCTTTGGCTTTGAGGTCTCAAAGATGTTCAGCAGATTTAAGTTTCCTCTGGTGGGAATATTTGCTTCAGCCTTCCATCGGGTAGATACTTGGGTTCTCTGTTGCTCATCAAAGCTTGGGGTGGAGGGGCTGGGGGGGCGTGGAGGAGCTTTGTGTTGAAAAACACTGCTTTATTTGTGGGAGACATTGCTGAGCCCTACTGGAAGAGCATGGGAAAAAAGTAATCAAGAATTGACAGAAGAAAGAACAAATAGGGGTGTATGGAAGGTGGTTCTGGTCAGAATGAACAGCTGTCTGCCTGGACCACCTGTGCATTCAGATAATCGTGCTTTTCTTTCTGTTCTTTATTCCTGCTAGTGCCTCTGCATGGGGATCTGTCTTCCATTACATCTAGAATTTTCCATGATGGCTTTACTCAACTACCAACATAATGGCCTCTCTCTCATTTGCACTCCTCCCATAATACTTGTTTATAAGATTATTAGAACTGTTTATAATATTATGGTTTTAGTAAGCTATAGATCTTTGAAGCAAAGAGGTTTTTTATTCATTTCAGAGTGTCGTGCTGTATATGCTTCAATGTGCTTGGATTCAAATCCCAACTCCCTCATTCTTAATTATACAAGCTGTATAGTCCTCTGGATCTCACTTTGCTCATTTGTAGAGTAGAGAGAACAATGGGATGCACACACAGGATATTTGTGAGTGTTAACTAAAATACCACATATAAAGCTCTTAGGATAGTGCTGGACCTGGAGAAAGTCCTTGCTAAACATTGATTATTGGTGTTATGAATACCTACAACTGGAGCACAAGTTTCTGGATCAACTAGAAATTGCGTCTCCTGAGGTTTCCTGGAGAAGTCAGCTTGAGAAGGTCTATCTGAGGCTCACAGATTCCTGGGATTTGTGGGTCCTAAGATCCGCCATATGTTGCTCTGACTCCTAGCTCAACACCTCTGACAAAAGGGTGGCCAGGGACTAACAGTGCTGTTAAAACAATTCTCCTACCCTTTCCTTTTCAGAATTATTACTGAGTGCACTAGAAAGTAGGAGGACTGACTGTGTGCTGATGAATATTTTGGCCACCACTCTGCTGCACACCCCTGTCAGTCCTGTCCCTTCACACTCCCTCCTTAATGATAATGGATTATAAAAAACTCAGAGAAATTAGAGGGAAGACCAAAGCTCAGTGGTGGGGAGGGGAGAATGGCATGAGGGAAGGCAGGATAGGGATCAGAAAAACTGGAAAGGAGAGGAAGGTTCAGAAGACATCAAAGAAAAAGGTGACTATGAAGAGACAGAAAGAGGTGAAGGAGGTAGAAGTCCCAGATTCCCAGGGACTCAGAGCAGCAACAATTAGACCAGAACCTATGGAAGTTTATAAGTAGGTTGGCCTGTTTCAGCTTCTGGGAAGTTGGGTCCCTACTGCTAGGGAAAGAATCCAGCCACCAGGTGGCGGTGGTGCATCAGTCACATGTTCTGAGCCAGCTGTGGACCTGTGTAGGCCCCTGTTTATACCGCAAAGTACATGTTAACACAGCTAGCTCCACACTAAACAGTAACATTGGGTCACTCTCTGCAGAGTTTTGAAAGAAAGCAATGCTAAGTACAAGTACGAATCTTTCTCTATACATCATAACTAATTTCAATCATAGGTGATTAGAATGAGAGAATTCTGGGTACAGTTTAAAATGACCTTTTTACATTTAAGGGAGGAGAGTCATAGGCCCAAAGAACATTAAGTTCTACTGCTGTTTGCTACAGTATCTTATGCCAGTATGCACTGAAATTTAAATATGGAAAATAAGATCAAATACTTACTTTAAAATAAATTTTGAAATTTGAAATAAAATAGATAAGTAGTTTTCCAATATAAAAAGTTATCAGAATTCTAAAACTGAATTGTGATAGGTAATTTCTAAAGGTCAAATGGACATCAGAATAAAATTATTTTTTAATTATCATATTATTGTTGTATTGGGGGTACATTGTGACATTTACAAAAGTTCTAACAACATATCTTAAATTCACCCCTCTATCATTCTCCTTTATCCCTCCTCCTCCCATTCTTAGAATAATTTCAACAGGTCTCATTTTTCCATTTACATACATGAGTACATAATATTTCTACCATATTCATCCTCCTACACCCTTTCCTTTATCCTTCCCACTTCCCTCACAGGTACCAACCCCAGACAGGCCTTGTTTTACCTTTCTGTACTCTGTTTTTGAATGGAGTACAAATTCCTAGTGTCTGATTTTTCCCATTGTCTCTCACTGTTTTCTATTCTCATTGTGCTCCCTTGCTTAGACCCCACTTTATCTTCCCCTTTCCCTTCCTTCCACCATCTTCTTAATTTTTTGTTTATTTTTGTTTTTCTTTTGATCTTTTTCTCTTTTTAAAAATGTCCTTGCTGCTCTTATTTTTTCTTTCTTCTCTTTTTTCCCTGTATCTTCCTATTTCATCTGTCTTTTTTCCATCTCCTTTGCCAATTCCCTGTTCTTACTTAGTCAGCTACTAGGTAATTAAAATATGTGCAAATAAATATTTTCAATTTCTTATTGTAGAGAGATTTATTTTTTCTATTAATAATTATTAAAGCAAGAAAATAGAATTTAAATATGACTTTCAAAAAAGCTAAAGTCAGCAGTTATTAATTTCTATGATACCCAGAGCCCTTGCTTCTGTTGTGATGGTTCAGAGTTATGACAGCAGGAATAGAGGAAAGGAGGGTTTGGCTCCGGGAGTCTGACGGAAGCTGGTACGGGATCGCATCCTCTCACTTTGACTCTGAGGCTCTGCTGGTTGGTTAGCAGTGGATGGGCTATGTTACATAGCAGGCTTTCAACCAGTCTTCCGTTCTCAAGTATTCTTTTGTCATGATTTCTTAAAATAGGCTGACTTGCTTCTTCTATCAAGTAGTGAGCCACATGGTCTCTGTTACATTGAAACTGCTGAGCTTGATGGGTAAGTTATTAAATTAGAATAGTTAACTAGGTTGGTTTCTAATTTATTTAAAAGTAATGTCTTTGGAAGCAGAACATAAGCCTTGTTCTTTATTTTCTTGGAAGACATAGAGATCTAAATTGCAAAGTACATTGTTAATTACTTTGAAGTAATTTTGAAAACTATTTTCTCTTGGATTTGTTTTAAAAACTCTGACTTTTGAGTTTATTTTCTTTCAGAAAAAGTTAAACATGTATATGTGAATAATTTTACACAAGGAGTCCTCAGAAATTTTTGTTTTAATTTCATTTTCTAAAGAAAATGAGAGGGGATGTTGTTTTCCTGAGGAAGGAAGGGACTGATGTCACTTTAAAAGACAATATGGGAGAGAAGAGTAAAATGGGTTATGATGCAATTTTGACAATGATATTAATTTAGAATTTGGTTGTAGTCCATACAGCAGTTCTGTTTTAGAGAGATCAGTTTGTTTGTCTGGTATAAAAACATTTATTGAATGCTTATATTATAAAGGTTATATATATATGTTAATAACATATATATATGTTATTTTTCTTTAGATAGAGTTTATCATTTAATTCTGATGCAGCAGTATATAAACTCTATTGTACAGATAATGAATCAAATTTAGAGAGGATAGGTAATCTGTCTAAAACTCACAAAGAATGAAGGTAGGACTCAAACCTGGCAGTTTGATACCACAGCCCATGGTTTTAGCCAGTGCCTCTCAAGTCATTACCATATTGAGCTATTCAAATAGACTTTGGCCTATGTGATTCTACCCCTGGTTTGGAAAGAATAGTTTCAGACACAGGTAAAGGAGTGCTGAGAGGAAAATTTATAGCATTAAACACATACACTTGAAAAGAGAAAAAGTCTCAAATCAATAATCTAATCTTCCATCTGTACAACCTCGATAATAGCTAGATAAATCCAAAGCAAGTAGAAGGAAGGAGATAATAAAGATAAGAACAAAAATCAATGAACTTGAAAACAGAAAAACAATAAAGAAAATCAAAGAAACAGGGTTAGTTCTTTTAAAACCTCAATTTAATTGACAAAATTCTAAGAAGCCCACAAAGAAAAAAAGAAGAGACAAATTCGCAGTATCATGAATGAGCCAAGGGAATTCAGCACAGATCCTGAAAACATCAGTTAGGCAATGAACAGATACAACTCTGTACACATAAACATGAAAACTTACAGGAAATGGACTACCTCCCCCTAAAGCACACACTATTTACCCACTGTGACATAGATAACTTGCGTAGCCCTATAACTTTGAAGGTAATTAAATTCAACTGTAAATCATACCTCTATAAAGCTGTTAGTCAAAAACAGGAGAAAATCTTTGAGATCTGGATAGTCAAAGGGTTGTTAGATATGACACAAAAAGCATGATCCATAAGAAAGAAAATTTGATGAGCTGGGCTTTAGTAAATTAAAAAATTGCTATTTATTTATTTAATTAAAAATTAATTATCATATTCTTGTAACTAGGCGTACATTGTGACATTTACAAAATTGCTTACAACATTAAATTCACTCCCTCCATCCTTCTTTTATCCTTCTCCCCCGACTCTTAGAATGGTTTCAACAGATCTTATTTTTCCATTTTCATATATGAGTACATAATATTTTCACCATATTCACCCTCAAGATTTCTTTTTGCTCTGTATTTGCAAAACAAATATGTGACAGAGGATTTGTATCTCGAATATATAAAAAATATTCTCAAAACTCAATAGGAAAACAAGCAACCTAGTTAAAAAAATAGGTAAATGACATGAACAGACATCTTATCAAAGAAGACATACAGGGGGCAAATAAGCACATGAAAAGTTGTTCAACATCTTTAGCCACTAGGGAAATTAAAATTAAAATCACAATGATGCATTACTACAGATCGCTTAGATAAGATATAGCAAGAACTCCAAGTGCTGGCAAGGATATGGAGCAACAGGATCACTCATACATTGCTGGTGGGAAAATAAAATATTACTGTCACTCTGAGGAACAATTTGGCAGTTCTTAAAAACTAAACACATGTCTAACATACAACTCAGTAATTTCACTACTATTTACCACAGAAAAATGAAGATTTAGGTTTAACACAAAAACCTATACGAGGATGGTTATGATAGATGTATTTGTAACATTCTAAAAGGAAATGACATTCAACAGGTGAATGTTTGAACTAACTGTGATCCAGTCACATCATAGAATATTACTCAGTAACATGAAAAAACAGCTATTGATGTACCCAACAACTGGGATGAATTTTCAGAGAATTGTGTTAAGTAAAGCAAGCCAATCCCAAAAGTTACATACTGTATGATTCCATTTATATAACATTCCTGAAGAGGCAAAATTATAAAAATGGAAAACAGATTAGTGGTTGCCAGGTATTAGAGATGATCATGGGGGAGGCAGAGATGTGGGTGTGGCCATAAGGGGTAGCTAAAGATAAATGTTATGATTATCGTCATAATAATTATGATGATAGAAATGTTCTACACTGACTGTGTCATGGCCAATGTCTGGGCACTGATAATACAGTATAGTTTTGCAAGATGTTACTATTTGGGGAAACTGAATAAAAGGTACACAAGATTTTTCTGTATTGTTTCTTATGGTGAAAATCTGGCAGATTAAGAGACAGTGTGATTATTCTTCCCTTTTAATTTTCACATTTCAAGGTGGAAGTGAGACAGAGAGAATCCTGGGGGAACTCCAAAGATGATGAGCTTTGATGAATGACATGGCAGAGAAGGGTGGGAGGACAGTAGCCATCTGGCCTAGCTGAGGTGATAGGATGCATTATTGGAAAAGTGGTTCAGCTAGATGGACATATTGGTTCTTCAGCATTAGCACCAGTTATCTCACACTAGTCCATCAAACCCAGCCCAATTTCTGTCTCATCTATCAAGTTCTTAATCATCTTAATCCCTTCCTCATCTCTGTCAAGTTGGAATTGGCAGATTTTGATTAATGAGATAATTTCTTTAAAAAGTAACTTCAATTATACATCTGACTTAGTACTTCCTGAAGAAAGCTATTTCACCAATGGGTATTCCCTAGGTTGGGTTCATATTGTCCTAACACCTTTGCAAATCTTGTTTACTGATGGTTAGATTAGGAGCTGAGGGCACAGTTCTGTGGTAGAGCACTTGCCATGCATGCACGAGGCCCTAGTTTGTTCCCAGCACTGAAAAAAAAAAATTGGTTGAGTGCTCTCCTGAATATCTGCTTCTTGGCTCTCTAAACTCAATGATTTCATGGGTTGGCACGTAATTCCGTATAGTGATATTTGCATTTTTACCTTCTGCTTATTTCCTTCAAGAGGACAATAATCTTCTTGGAGAATCATTGAGTAACCTAGGTGATTATGGTATATATTCAACCAATATTTTTGATTGAACACATTACCAAACATTTACATAAAAGATAGGACTCTGACATTTGACCTTTTTGTGGTTTATAACATCATAAATTTATTGTCTTATTAGTCCTGGAGATCAGAAATCTGAAATCAGTTCAACTGGGCTAAAGTTATAGTGTCAAATGAACTAGTTTCTTTGGGACTCTGAAAGGGCTACAAGGGCTCTGAGTCCTGAGGGGAACAGGGGTCCCAATTTTCTTTGAGTTATAGCTCCCTTTTCCTGTGTTTTTTTTTTTTGTGGTACTGGGGTTGAACTTAGGGCCTCATGCTTGCTAGGCAGGCACTCTACCACTTGAGCCACCCACCAGCCCTCCCTTTTCTATACTTAAGATAAGCCAGGTTCATCACTTCGACCTCAGCTTCCATTACCACCTAGCCTTCTCTCTTTGGTTCTGAAAGATGATCTTAAGCTACAATAGTAGAAAATTAGGTTGAACTCAGTGAGAAAACTGGGATGACCAGCCCTTAAATACCAGGTAGGGGTAGTGGCAATGGAACCATGTCATGAATACCAGAGAGCCACCTGTCCAGTGTACCTGTGATCCTGTCTAGAAGATGACCAGCAATCTATGACCTGCTGGTTTTATGAGGTTGTGCTATTCTAGACTGAAGGGTTTCTTGGATTGATTCTCTAAGAAAAAGAAAGCTGTGTTCCTTTTCCCATTTATATTTCAACTACTATAAAATTAGTCTTGACCATCTTTTGCAAGTAAAACTCCTACAAAGATGGTAGACTCTGTAGTCTATGGCATCTGTGTTCCCGTTCCTAATATGTTTTATAACTCATGCATGATGTTTGAGTAGGTTCACATGAAACTGTATTTATTATTTTCTCTGTTCTTTCAAACTGCAAAGCAGAGTACTGTGTTGTTATACAGATGTCCCGTGGGTGAAATGCCTGAGAAGCCCCACCCACTTTCCTGGTGTGAGAAGCATGAATGACTTTCAGAGAGGGGGTTCCTTGGGTCTCCTGGGCTGGGTTTTGCATGTGCTTTACCTACCTGATTGCTTTGGTAAGATGCTGTTGGGCTGTTCCATATAAAAATTCATTTCTTGTCATTAATTTCACAGGGAAACAAACCTAAAAGTTCGTCATGCATTACCAGTTACCTCAGAACTTGGAGCAGATATTAGCAGACTTGCAAGGTTTGATGGTAAATGTTTTAAGTGTTTTAAACAGACAAACAAAAATATCAAAACCAAAAAACAATGTAACAAGCTAACTATCTGTGATCTGGTTTATGTTTCTTTTTACTGAGTGGAAGGACATAAAATTCTCTAAGTGTCAAATCCTAGAATGTCTTCTTATGCTAAAGAGTAAAAATATATTCCAAGAGGAGAATGACTTTATCAGTGCATCATTTATTTCAACCTTTTTTCTTCTTATCTAGATCTCAGTCCCTTCAATATCATAATGCACTTCTCTTGCTTGACTTTGGACTCTCTGGAGCCCTGTGCAGACTTGCTAAGGATGAATACAGGCCATACTTTTATTTCTAATTTTAGGTCTAAATATCCATTTTATGGTTCTATAACAACTTCTGATAACTGTGTAAAGACAGTCATTCTGCTTCACATTTTTCTGTACCTTGCATAGTGCTTGGTATAATGTCTGGAAGATAATAGGTGTCTAAGGAGAATATTCTCATTTATAAATCAGTTGCCTTTATTTTAGACCAAGATTTTATTATCACCATCTTCACATCATTCAACCCAGTCCCCTACTCATCACCATGATCTCTCTTGCTTCTATGCTTTTCTGGATAGATCCTGTTCTTTTCTATTAAAGGTATCCTGGCCTGTAGATATTGTCCATCCTAGTTATATCTGTATCTTATGATTAAGAGACTACAGAGAAACAAATCCTTTGAAAGGAGACACTAATGGTAAGGTTTAAGGCACAACCAAAGGCTGTAGGAAGAATCTTCGGGCCTTCCTGCCACCTCTCAAGGGTCGTCTTTTGCTTCACCCATTTGTAAGCCTGACCCTGTATATCAATATTTCCATACAGATTGATTTTATTTATTAATGAGTCTTTATGTGTTTCCAAAATGTTTTCTTTGGGTCCACTAAAAGAAAATGTGATGAAGGTCTTAGTATCATCCCGTGAGTTAAAGCACAGAGTTTACATTGTACAATTGCTCCAATGTGAAGCTTAGAGCTTATTCTGTCTATGCTTTGTATTTGCTTATAGTCTCCATTTGGATTTTGTTAATATTTTAATCTCTTTTAAATGAGGGCTGTTATAATAAAATGTTTGTAGAAAAAATATTCTTCCGAGTTGGGATTTAAGTCAAGGAAATAGCCAGGAAACTTTGAATGGTCCAAGAAATATTTTGATTATATTAAAACAAATTATGCATTTTCTAATTAAATAATTTTTCAATGAAATTTTACTATTATGTAAATCTAAGAAAAATAAATTGTACTTATGAATCAAAACACTTTCTTAAAATACTTCATTGACTACTTATGAGTCCCCTAAAAGGGGAAACTAAATATAATTTACCATTACTCATTTCTTTCCTGGCAGAATTGTACCTTTATGTCTGTGCCAATCTATAAGGAGGTAGAAATTCATGATTTTTAGTTTTCTTAACCATCAAAAGGCATAAAACTATTGTTAGAGTTATTTTGTTCCTTTATGAAGATGCTGGCACAGAGAGCCTGCACTATGGTGCAGTTACAAATAACCCTGGATGGAATCTTAGTGGCATAGACACAGTAAAGGTTGACTTTTTTTTTTTAGCATTTGTAAAGCAAGAGAGTTTATTGAGATAGAAAATTGTAAATTGGGAGAATTGAACCCTCAGAGTTGGAAGGGGGGGCTCCCAAGGGAGGATTCCTGAGAAGTGATGTAGTCTGAGTGTTTTATCCATTTTCTCCAGGGTGTTGCTCAATCTCTATGCTAATTAGGTATGCAGAAAGCAACATTTTGGTCAGCTGTTCCTGCAAGGTTCTGATTGGTCAGCCCTGATCCTCACAATCCCTCCTGCCTTTCCATCTTTCCACCCTTTAAGGTCACAGGGATATCATAATCGAAGTTTCCCTCATGACACATTCTGATGTGGGTTGGAGAGTGTTCCCTATCAAATATAACCATGGTATCCACACTAATGGCTTTGAAGTTCACCATATCAGGATCAGGGTGAGATGAAAGAGACACACTAGCTTTTTTTTTTTTAATTCATATGTGCATACAATGTTTGGGTCATTTCTCCTCCCTCCCCCCGCCCCTTCCTTTACCCCCCTGCCCCCTCCCTTACACCCCCCAACCCCTCGCTACCAGGCAGAAACTATTTTGCCCTTATCTCTAATTTTGTTGAAGAGAGAGTATAAGCAATAATAGGAAGGAACAAGTGTTTTTGCTA